TTTTTCTTTGTTCATTATAATACTATTTTATTTTTTTAATTTATTTTTTTAAATGCCTATTATGTCACTAAATAAGTAATAGACAATGACTACTTTATATTAAGAATGCTTTGAAATTATCAAAAATGTACGAGATTTTATGAGGGGTTATGAAGTTAATGAGATTAACGGAGAAAGTAAAAAATCTGAAATCTAAAATAATTGGTCATAGACCGATGAAAAACTGATATTTTATTACCTATTTTTTGAAACAACTTGAAAAATGATTATTTTTAAAATCCAGTAAATAGCTGTACCTGTACGGAATTTAAAAAAAAAGTGTGTACCTGAAAGAGTTGCGTTCTGGAACTAAAAGTTTTTTTTTTGTTCAATTTTTGTTCAATGGGTAAATAAAGTTTTAAGAGCAAGAAAGAAAAAAATGGTTATAGTTAAATAACGGTGAGCACACAAAAAAATTACAGACAAATAATTAATGAACACTATACCGGGTGGGGCATCGGTTACGCGCAGAAAAGAAATCCCCACTTGTAATTAAATAAAAGTGTTGAATTTTTTTACACTTACCTGAGCATTGATAAGGTACATTCCATAATTTTTTGGTAATTTTTCATTTACAAACAAAGCCAAAAAAAAATAAAAAGTAATTTTCTTACAATAAGTTGAATTCTAATTTTTATACTGAACTACACAGATTCACTTCCTGTAAGTATTTACGAAATCAGGAAAAAAATACCAATTAGATTTTGAATTAAACGCAATTTTACCATTTGGTCTGGTTTGTGTTAAAATACAAAATACGATTTTTAGTTAACCAAGTCAAAGTTTGTAATTGTGATATCAAAGTTTGATGCTCTAGCAGTATAAAAACTTGTTAGGTAAATTAGCAGAAAGTATTCATAAAACACAAAATTGTTACGGTCTCATTTATCAAAAAAATTTAGAAAAATGTTAATTAATTAGTAGACGCCTATTTAAAAAAAAACTTTTACCACCACATATTTTTCAAAATTCTGAGAATACAGTTGAAGAAACAAAGAAAATGTAAGAAAGGGTGTTGTAGAGAATTTAATTTCCTTTAAAAAAGACTTATTCTCAACAACTTTCTTTCTTACGTTTTCCTTGTATATTTAACCGCATTCGCAGCATTTTGAAAAATATGGGACGGAGCACAAATTTAAAATTTGTAAAGCTGAACATTTTTGCATTTTTTTTCAAGCAATTAGTAACCTGTGTTAAATTTAAATTAATTTAAGGAGTCCATGAATTTAAAAAAAATGTATAGAAGTTTCCACATTGAAAAATAAAATTTTTAATTTTTTCATGGCTGACTGAACGTCGGGTTGATTTGTTTAAAAGTTCAAGACTGAAACCGTTAATATTGCGTGATAATGATTTTTTTGTTTGAATTGAAAAAGTTGCCGTTTTTGGAAGAGTTAATTTGATTTTAATGCTACTAAAATTCATATTTTGCCCAAAATTAAGAAATTCTTCATGGGGTTGAATTTACAATCATGTACCACTGTAGAAATTAAAAAAAAAGCAATTGAAGCAGAAGTATTGAATTCCCAGATCAACATTTTTCACAATTTTGTGAGAGCAAGAATTGACATTTATGTTTTTTTCTCACATTGATAAGAGTGATCGGAAAAATGACAAAATTTTGGAATAAAACTGAAAACATTTTGTTTTGACAAAAATCCTCGAACAGGTCAATTTTCTTTTTAAAAAAATCAAATTTTTAACTTGATTTAAAATTGTATGTTTTTTTTTGTTGATACTATTTCACTTTTTTGGTGATTTTTTTCGAAAACTTTAATAATAATAAGTTTATTGGTGTTAACAATACAAGTAGCTACCTATTATACACAGGTCAAAAAAAAGAGCACAGAAGATAAGTAAATACATGAGAAGAAAAAAAGAAAAAAAATAGAATTACTTAATATTACTATTTTCTATTAAGTATGTAATATTTGGGTGATTAAAAAATTAAAATTAAAAGATCTATTGAATTGTCTAAAAAAAATGTCAATGACGTCATTAGTCAAAAACCAAAACGTGTAAAATTTTAAATCAAGCTGAAAATTGTGTTTTTTTTTTAAATTTGAGCATTTTTGCCAAAACAAAATATTTTCAGTTTTAATAAGTTATTTTATAATTTTGCCGCTCACTGTATAAATATTTTTAAAGGTAGATTAAACAAGACTCTATAATGTTGTAAGAATAGTTTTATCTTATTTTTTTACATTAGTGTGTTAATTCCTAAACGGAATTTACTTTATAAAAATAGTAAGAGAGGTTTGAAGAAAACACTTTTCAAAAATAATACTTTATTTAAAATTGGATGTTTTTTTTGTTGATACTATTTCACTTTTTTGGTGTTTTTTCTCGAAAACTTTAATAATAATAAGTTTATTAGTGTTAATAATACAAGTACCTACCTACTATACACAGGTCAAAAAAAAGAGCACAGAAGATAAGTAAATACACGAGAAGAAAAAAAGAGAAAAAAGAAAAAAATAGAATTACTTCATATTACTATTACATTCATTATTATGTAATATTTAATATTTAGGTGAAAATTAAAATATCTATGGAATTAGCTAAAAAAAAAGTCGATGACGTCATTAGTCAAAAACCAAAAAGTTTATTGGTGTTAACACTACAAGTACCTACTTATTATACAGTGGTCAAAAAAAGAGCACAGAAGATAACTAAAAACCCAAATACATGAGAAGAAAAAAAGAAAAAAAGTGAATTACTTAATATTACTATTTACTATTATGTAATATTTAGGTGATTAAAAAATTAAAATTAAAAGATCTATTGAATTGGCTAAGAAAAAAATGTCAAAAACCAAAAAGTGTAAAATTTTATATCAAGCTGAAAATTGTAAATTATTTAAAAATTTGAGCATTTTTGCCAAAACAAAATATTTTCAGTTTTAATAAGTTAATAATTTTGCCGCCCAAAAATTGTTGTCAAAAAATAATTAAATGTCAAAAACCAAAAAGTGTAAAATTTTATATCAAGCTGAAAATTGTGAATTATTTAAAAATTTGAGCATTTTTGCCAAAACAAAATATTTTCAGTTTTAATAAGTTAATAATTTTGCCGCCCAAAAATTGTTATCAAAAAATAATTAAAATTGTTGAAGTTATCATTAATTATGATTTCAGTGCCTTGAAATAGTCGAAAAGTCATGCAAATGTGGCCTACATTTAAAAGAAGTGCATTGCTCTAAACCCTACTTCTGCGAAACAAAATGCAAACGAATGAGGGATTGCAATAAACACCCTTGCAACAAAAAGGTCGGTATTTTGCGAAAAATGACTGTTTTCCCCCAAATTGAATTTTAGTGTTGTGATGGCAGTTGTCCACCATGTGAAAAACCCTGTGGTCGCACCCTCAATTGTGGCAATCACAAGTGCAATTCAGTGTGTCACAGAGGTCTGTGTTACCCTTGCAACCAAACCGATGTTGTGACTTGTCGTTGTGGTCAAACCAAATTAACTGTGCCGTGTGGACGAAAACATAAAACTAAACCACCAAAATGTAGCAAATTGTGTTTGTAAGTTATCACAAAATGAAAAAAAAAAAAAAACAAAACAAAAAAAAATTGCAATTTTTAGAATCCCTCCAGACTGTCACCACGAATCGAGGGAACCACACAAGTGCCACTTTGGGGATTGTCCACCGTGTAAACAAACCTGCAATAAATCTCGTCTCAAGTGCGCTCACCTTTGCAGTGCCCCTTGTCATTCTGCCGTTTTTGTGAAAATCGAAACTAAGAAGGCGTCGATGCCTTGGGAACAAATGAAACCACAATTGGAACGCAAGGCTTTGGATTGTCCCAATTGTGAAGTCCCGGTGTCAGTCACGTGTTTAGGTTTGTTATTAATAAAAATTAATTTTATACAGGGTGTTTTGTAAATAATTGATGATAAAATACCGTGCGATCAAATAAAAAATAAATTAGAGTAGGCGTCGATTAAATTCTAAACTTAAACTTGTCAGTTTCCGCCGACATTTGATATCAAAAATCAGGATTGCCATCTGAAGGATTTTAATCATCGCTTACTCTGATTTTTTTTTTGATCGTACGGTACCAGGAATGTCAAAAAAATTTGACATTTTATCTATGTATTACTAAAACGTGATAGCTCCAACTCTCTCAACCCGTGGAAAAATTAATTTAACTTACTCTCTCGCGCAGTAGCAATTTTGGACATGCTAAAAGTGAAAAACGGCAAAATGCGGAGACTAAGCAAAGATAGAAAATAAAAATTTAATGGAAAAACTATCGATTGCAAAAAAAAAGTTTCATAGAGAAAAAAGGTCTAAAAGTGCCTAAATCATTCAATCTGACACTTCAGACAGTTGTTGACATTTCGCGACAATGTCGCTCACACTCTTCAAAAAAATCAAACGAAATTTTTTTAGTCACATTAAGCTTTAATCTGCATTTTTTTTGGAACCCACTAAGAAAAAAATTGACGAAAGAGTCCCTTATCTAACATTAATTTTTCGTGGCTAACTGGAAAAATTAATTTAAATTCATTATTTTTGCGTTTTTTCAAAGCAAATTTGAATTATATTAAAACAGTTTTTTATTGATAATCGGTGAGGTTTTTGCGAAATCTTGAATTTGACTGGTTGGACACATTTTTAATTTCGATTACAAGGACCAATAATAATCATTTCCCATTCACGTAATTACCACTAAGGTGAGAACAAACCGGTTTTTATTTCTTATTGGGCAAAATTCGACAAAAACCTAGCAACGATAAGTAACTCCACCCATTTAAAAAATCGTGAATAATTATTGATTTCTGAATCGAATTTTTATAACAAATCAGCGTTTAGTGTGAGTTATCTTACTTTAATTGGATCTAATTTTGCACAATGGGTGGAGCCAACCCCAGAGCCAATATGAATCATTCTCTTTCGATTATTAGACCAATAAAAAGTAAAAAATTATGTAATGGGTTAAAGTTGAGTGTCATTGTTCGATCCTTAGCCAATCAATTACGTCTTTTATAATCAACCAATCCGAACACGTTTTAGATTTTTCGACAAGAAAAATAATTAAAATTTTTGTTTTAAAAATCGGCTTCTTCGATTTTATAGTTAAGAAAAAAAATATTATTTGAAGAATAAATGTTAATTAATTTTCTTTACTGTTAAATGTCCAAACTGTCAAATTTTGACATTTTTGAAAGATTTACATAACACTGTGAATTAAGTTCATTTATTGTGTACTAAAATTCGTATTTTGCTCTATTTTTGATTCAAAAATACCGATTCGAGTCGTTTTTAGCGGTTTTAGCCTTTATTTGATACTTCTTTAAAAAAAATTTCAAATGTTCAAAGTGCGCATAATTCGACAGATTGGTTCTTTATGTACAATCAGTGCAGAGAAAAACGGGCCTAAAAGTGCATAAATTTTGCGGTAGCAAACATCGCTTTTTAAAGCAGATAATTTACCTAAAATAAGAATAATAAAAAAACAGAAACGTTATAACAAAGAAAACCAAATCTATTAAAAAAATAAAAACAGAAGATTTACTTTTTTCATCAAATTTTCTGGTAATTTAAAAGTTTTTTTTGCAAAACTATTACAATATAGTATTCATTTTGTTTAGATACTGTGTTTCAGTTTGTCATTAGTTAATTTAGAAGCAAACCAAAAACAAAAAATATCAGGATAAGATAATTTGCGAAGGCAGAACAATTTGACAAAACTGATTTGAAAGAAAGTTTAAAAAAAGACAAAGCGACGTTAAAAACATTTAAGATAGAGTTTACAAAAAAATAAGAATGAAAGAAATAAAGTTGAAAAATTGGAAACAAGGATGTTAAAAACGAGTAACACAACATAAGAAAGAATAAAAATATGCAAACACGAATATTGGACTTTGAATTAGAAGAATGTAGGACAAAAATATTGGAGAAAGAAGAGTATCAAAAAATGGATAAAAGTAGTCAAAAAAATCGAAAAAACAGAAAACCTGAAAGTAATTTAATATAACTAAACAGGAAGACTAAATGAAACAAGAAAATAGTAAACAAAAAAAAAAACAGAAAAATACAAAAGGGTAATGTGAAAACAAGTCGGAAAAATTATTGTTTCTGAGCATTTTATGTCTATTTAATAAATTTACTAAAATTTGTACCAAAGATAATTTTTTGGTACTGAATCTATTGGTTTAGAGTTTCTTTTCCCTGAACGTAACCTTAATTCATTTTTAACATTTCTCTTTTAGTTGCCCATAATTAATTAAGTAATGGATTTTCAAGGGCAAGGTGCAAAAATTTCGAAAAATTCTAAATATTAAAGCTGGAATTTTTTTAAATTTAAATTTTCTCCATACAGGGTGATTTTGAAATCTCAACAATAAACTGGAATATTTNATATTTAAAAAAAAATAAAATTTATGTTTTTTCATCCCCATTTTTCGTACCTGCCTGATTTTCTCCCTTATTATTGACTTATAGGTTTAAATAGTGTCGTATATTTTAAAATCACCCTGTATAAATAAAAACAACTTATAGTATTTTTTTACAAAAATTATTATTAATTAATTTTTATATCAACCGTTGAGAAGAGAAATAAAGTAGTAATTTGGGGCCCCCAGTTTTTGTTTTGTTTTTCAAAACTACATAAAAATGTATAATGAATTAATTTTTTTACACGCGTCCATAATTTTATACTTAAAAAATACCAGGTGAATAAGAACTATGGAACCAAACGTTTTTACTTAAAGTATTTATTCTGTGAAAAAACTAATTGATGAATGATAAAATACTATAAAAATGTGATATGAATATTTTTATGTCTATTTAATGATATTTTTTTATAATTATTTAGTAAAGGTACAAAAATTTTGCCAATAAAAGCCTCAAATAACATTAAACAGAAAAAATAGAGTCAAAGTGCAAAATTTAAACTGTCGTAACTTTTTATAGTTAATAATGTTCCTGGGGCGCGAGTTCTGGCGCACCCTGTATACTCTTACCCTAATTGCCCATCTAAAAAATCAATTCTTCAAAAAAAGTTAGTGCGTTTAAACACTACAAAATATTTTTTATCTTAAAATGAAATCCAAAAACTGTTTGTTTTTAGTTTCACCATGTTGGCTTAAAATAATTGTAATTTGGTATGTAGAAACAAATACATTTTTTTCCTACGACCCTAACTGAAAGAAAAGTGGCTAATTATCAAAATTACAATAAAAATATTTGTAATCTCTTAGAGAGGTAAAAATTTTACCATAAAAACGGAAAAACATGCTGCTAGACTTAATAGTAAAACTGAGATATCAAGAGAAATTGTTAATTTTGAAGTCTTTCTTGCTGAAGGAAAAATTATATGTGTAGAATTAGTTGTACAAATTTTTGGAATTTAATCGAAATTTTTTTGAATTATTTGGAATTAATAAAATTATTTTTGAAATTACTGAAATTATTTGTGTGAATTACTGAAATTTTTCTGCAAGTTTTTTTTTGAATTATCAAAGATTTTTTTAAATTACGTTGAATTTCTTTGAACTATAACACAAAAATTAAGTTGAAATTATATGTAGAAAATAATCTGAAGACAATGAAATTATGATGGATTATTTTGGAATCTCAAAATGTTCAATAAAGAAAAAAAAGAAAAGATGGAGGGGCCATTAACTGTAGAATTAGTTGTACAAATTTTTGGAATTTAATTGAAATTTCTTTGAATTATTTGGAATTAATAAAATTATTTTTGGATTGTTTGGAATTACTGAAATTACTTGTGAATTAAGTACTGGAATTTTCTGAAAAAAAAAAAAACAAAAAATAGAGTCAAAGTGCAAAATTCAACAACTTCAAAATTTTTATAGTTAGAATTGTTTTAGCATTTTTTTATGTTCCTGGTATTTAATTAGGTGAGCACGAGACCTGCGACTGGCCTTGCTACCAAGCAGCCCCCTCGAGCTGTCTCCGACCATGTGGACGTCTCCTAAACTGCGAAAACCACACTTGTGCCCTTCCATGTCACTTGGTGGAAGCCCCCCCTGACAAAATCAAGGTTATTAATTAATTAATTAAAATTATTAATTAATTAAAATTCATGTTAATTAGGCCGGCCAAAATTGTGAAAAATGCGAAGCCCCGTGCTCCAAACCCCGACCTGAGGGTTGCCCCCACGAATGCCCTAAACCATGCCACCCCGGCCCTTGCCCCCCTTGCAAACAAATGCTTCGTATAAGGTGCCATTGTGGCCTTAATCAGCCTTACGTGTCATGCAACGATTGGTTGAATCCAAAGAGAGAAGAAATCCAAAGTTGTGGTAATCAGTGTCCAAGGAGTTTCGATTGTGGTCACAGATGTCGCGCAAATTGCCATTCGGGCCCCTGCCCAAATCCGGAACTTTGTCGCAGGAAAGTCAAACTGACTTGTAAATGTAAAAGGTTGAAGAAGGAGTTTTCCTGCGAGATGGTTCGTAATAATTCGGCGAAAGTTGAGTGTGATGAGGGTTGTCTCCGGAAGAAAGAGGAGGAAATTAAGCAGCAGGAAATGATCAATGAGCAAAAACGGAAAGAGGAGGAGTTGAAGAATGAGAGGGAGTTGGCCAAGTATAAGAAGATGTTTGAGAGTAAGAAGAGGACGAGGGAGCGAAGGTTGTACGAAGAAGAGGAAGAAGTTGGGTTTATTAAGAGACATTTGGTTTTGATAACCACAATCACGGGAGTTGTGGTATCTACAGTAGTGTTTTTTCTACTTAGATGATTTAGGATTTAAGGTTTTATTTAATTTGAGTTAATTTGAAAAAAAAAATTTTTTTATTTGTCACACTTAGTTCTTTGAGAAATAAAGGATTTGCACAATTTTTTGTTTTATTTCAACTCCTTGGTCTATAAAAATGATAAGCCAAGTAATCGGTAGACAGGTGATTAAATTTTTAAATATTTTTATCTTATTATTACTATATTATTACTAAGGTCAAGTACTTATTTCATTTATCATTGGGTATATTTATTCCTACTCAGCAACAGCTGCAACCACTCACTGCCTAAAAATGGATAATAAAGATTTATATGTTGTCGGTGCTGAATTTAAGGAATTACATTATGACGGGGTGAGTCAAAAATTGCTTGATTCAATATTTATTTTGTATTTAGAATTTTTGATTTGTTATTAAACATACAGTATGTCCCCGAATTGAGTTTACAAGAGGAAAAATCTTTATCTTTGATTTTACGCAAAAAATTAAAGGAAAAACATTTTTGCTATACCCGAAGCAAGCAAATCTGTAATTAAAAATTCATTGGTCTAACTCAGAAAAAAGTTCATTTTTTTGACAAATGAGTTTACACAAGTTAAATAACAAAAATGTTTGTGAAAAACATAATAAGAAACAGCTTTAAGATAAAAACCAAAGTCATTTTTAACAAGAACTTTCATTATATAATTAATAAATTAATTGTCAAAGTGACATATAGTTGTCAAATAAATGAAACCGGCAATGTGATAGGACTTAAAAGCAGAGAAAAATTATTCTAAATCAAAAATCAAGAGAAAAATTAACTTTTCTTTTCACTGAATCAGAATAATAAAGTTTTAATTACAGATTTGCTCGTTTCAGGTGAAGCAAATTTTTTTCCTTTGCAGTTTTGGCGTAAAATCAAAGATCAAAAAATTCCTCTTGTAAACCCAATCCGGGGACAAACTACTGAATAAATAGAAAAATTTGGTTTCTCAAAATAACGATATTTGAATTTAGTGTAAAACAAGATTTCTTTTTTTTTTGTAACAAAATTGTTCGACAAAACGTAAATTTTTAGTTTCTTGCATTAGAAAATAGTCTATTAATATGATTAAATGATGAGGGGATGATTTTTTCAGTTTTGGGATTGGTTTGTTCGAGTGTCTGATCTAAGTATTCACTTAAAAAACGAACCCACTTACCTGATTTCTCAATTTGCATACATATTTGGTGGTATAGCGACATTACTTCATGGTAAGTTGGAAAATAAAAAAATGCATTTTGCTGAGGCTTAAGTCAAAGTTAGAAACTTTCCAAAAAATTAAGGGATCAAAAAAATTCCTACATTTTTGGAGATTTTTAAAAATGGTCATATTTATTAATTAACGATTAAAAAAAAAACATTTTGAAGCTTCAAGTTCCTACATTTAAGATTTTTGGCAATTTTTTTAGAGCTACGGTTATAACGCAATCCTAAGAAATTTCACGAGATTTTTTTTTATAAATTTTGTTTTTGGTTCAGGGAATTTTTTTTTAGTTCAATGCATATACCGGGTAACTGCTTATTCATTTCAATTCTGTTGTCAATTTTTCGCTGAAATATCTTACTTTTCTTCGTCTTTGATTATCGATATCTCAGCAACCAATGTTCGCACAGAGAATGTAAGAAGTAGATTCAAAAACTAGAATAAATTTCCTATAATATCCGATTTTTTGAAAAAAAATTTTTTTCACCATCAAAATTAAAAAAAAAAAGAAAACTAACTTTTTTCGTAGTTTTCATGAATCTACCGCAGATTTACAAATATTGACAAATTTTTCCAGGTTTTTTACAGTTTATGGTACCACCAATAGTATAGTCGTGTAAATTTTTAAATAAATTAGACTGTTTTCTCGAATTGATCGATTTTTTGCACGGAAGTTTATTGTTTCCGAAGATTGTGTAATCTTCATCAAAACAATTTTTTTCAATAATTTTGCATTAATTTTTTTTGTTAAATAAAAAAAATCGAAATTAAAAAAATATAGTTTTTCAAAAATTAGTCAGTTCCTATTGTTTATTGATTTTTTTTTATAAAATTTCAAAGTAAAATCAATAATTTTTATTTCTTTTGAAATTTTAACAAATAACTGATGGAAAATTGTAAAAAAATCTGAAAAAAAACAATTATTTTTTTCATTTTGATAAAAAATGAAAGATTATCCAAGATTAAAAATCAGATATCTCAGTGACAAATTGACGTAAAAAGAATATAAAAAAGCAAATTAAAGCAGAATAAACAAGCTATTGGATTTAACTAAAAAAAATCCCGAAATCCGTGGACCAAAAATAAAAAAATATAAGAAACATTTCGCGCGATTACGCGAATTACGTGATAACCGTATTCTCGAAATGATTTTCTTAATCTAAATACGAGTACCATTTTTCGCTGAGTTTATCAAAAATCACCAAAAGTGTAGTAAATTTTTTTCTTCTCTTTTTTGTGGTGCAGTAAAATTTTAAAAAAATTCCAGCGTTAATTCGAGGAGGAAGATTACCTTACCTATGGTTGGGAATTTTGATTCATGGGATTGTTATAGAATGTTTGTGTTACATACTCCCAGACGTCGATAATTTTTGGCATTCGCAAACACCGATAATATTTTTAGGAAGAAGACTTCCACTTCACATCATGCTCTTATGTAAGTGAGAAAAAAAAACATAAAAAAGTTGAACAATAAAAAAAATAGTCTGTCATAAACACACTATGAAACTCTTTTAAATAAGTGAATAAAATAGCATATTTTTCATGTAATAAAAGACTTACTAAAAATCAAAAATTTCTGTAATTGGTTTTTTCTGGTTATGTAATTTTTTGTATTTTGTTTCAAAAGCTGCCACCTGCACACTTAATCTAAAAAATTATCGAATTAGCGATAAGCGATGTAAACAGAAAATTTCGATAACACCTGTTTTTTAATATACCGTGTGATCAAATGAGAGTAGGCGACGATTAATATTCTACAGTTGGCAATACATTGGCTAGGAATTTTCCAACAAACTAAAATGTCGGAAAGTCAGCAACAATAAAAATTTTCTGCTCTAAAGTGAACATTATTTCACTCAAAATGAATAAAACGCAACTTGTCACAGTTTCCGCTGACATTTGTCAAAAATCAGGATTGCCAACTGAAGCACTATAATCACCGCCTACTCATTTTTCTTTTTATTTAAAACACACAAAAACATGAATAGAAAATTTTTTGAAAGCATTTATAATTTAACTTTTTCAAGTTCCAACTGTAATTAATAGTCTTGCATCACTTCATTTACATAAACATATACTTTTTTTCATATTAATGTTCATCAAGAAGATTTACACAAAAAGCGTCATTAATTACATCAATAATGACAAAAATCTTTGTTTTTTATCCCATGTTAATTTTAATTATTTTGTGCCACCTCGGGACACATTTATTTGAAAAGAATAAATTTTTAGGGAAGATTGAGGTTAGAATTATTTGAATTTTCGCATGGTTGCCACCCTAAAATGATCCCTTTCGATGCACATTAATATGAAAACGAATATAATTTTAAAAGTTTATGGAAAAAAAAATTACAGATCCCTGTTTCGTTTACAATTCCTCGATCGGGGTTGCTAAAGCGCGACTCCCATCATGGGCAGAGCCCTTCGCTGTGGGCTTGGGTTCTGTTCTAATCGACATTCCGTACGACATTGTGAGCGTCAATTTCCTCCATTGGACTTGGCACGACACTGACCCCAATATCGAAGACAGACACTATTGGGTCCCCTGGAATTCCTACTATTTTCACGCCACTTTTGCCGCAAGTTTCACTTTTTGGTTCCACTTTACACGAAAACTGATTTGCAAAAGTAACGGAAAATGGATCGCTGATAAAAAGTAATCAATTAATTTAACCCCAAAGTTTTAATCAGAGATTTTAGCCCCAAGAAGGAGGTTTTGTGTTCGATTATTGCCGGGGTTTTGGGCACACCAGGCGGAATTCTCATGTTTATACCGATTTATCACCCTTTACACGACATTTACAAAATTCACTCTGAAGTTACTTTTTTCATACTGTTTGTTGTCTTCCTTCTGATAATATGGTCGGCGGATCGAACGGCCAGACGAGACAAGAAAAAAAATACACAACACACCACACATTGGAGTACTTGGTTACTAATTTTACATTTATTAATACACTACACCAGTTTTTTGTTAATCCCAATATTGTTTAATCCTGAGGATGAAATTGCAATTGGTGTCAAAGAACCAATCGGGGCTTGTGATGAATATGTCCCAATTCAAACCGCATTCGGAATGGTGAGTTAACTCGTTTTGAAAGTAAAATCAATAAATAATTTTCAGACTTTGCAAAAACGCAAATATTTGTGTGCGAGTGATTACGACGAGAAATATTTCGATTGGCATTGTTTACCTGGGGGCAAGCCCCCGTCCGAAGGGGCCTACTGGTACACAGCCTGCGGGGTCCCACTCCCAAACAGAGTCGAAACAATCGTCATAATCAGCCTAATTTGTTTGTTGGGCGCCACTGTATACGCAAATTTACATTTCAGGTCAAGTGGTGATCAAGTATTCGCTGAAAAAACTGTCAAAACAAAAAAAGTAAAAAGACACTAAATCAATAAAAAATCCCCTAAATTATCAAAAGATTTTAATTTAAGAATACAAAATTCACAACTGAACTTTCACTAAAACTGAAAACGGATTCATTGCGATACAGAAATTTTGGGATTGAAAACGCGACAAAAGAAGTGCTCATTTAAGTAGTATTTTCGATTAACCTTAAAAATTATATTAGAAACTAGCTTAAATCTATACAGAAAACCACCTCAAATTGACCACTCAATGGTAGTGGTAATTAGGAGGTCAGCGGCGTCATAAAATTACTTTTAACAATATCCTCCAGTTTGTTGTTGGTACACTTCAATTGTGTCCCCCTCCTCCATACCGAGAGATGTCGGGGTGTCCGTCTCATTGATTGGGGTCCCGTCGAATCGGAATCTCACGACTTGCATGCTCAAGCCCTGGAATTATGACCCAATTATACCAGTCAAGGTCACTACACTGGGGAGTGTAAACAATGAATCACTCACTCACTTATCGGCGTAATTATGTTACAACTAACCGAAGAATTGAGATAAAAGTGGACTCACCGCTCTTTCACAATAAGCCCCCATCAGCTTCCTGAGAGGGGTGTGCTTTTTGATCTTGAACTGGACTACGGCGTTGTCTTGTCCAAGGACTTTGAGATTGATATGTTCCGTTTCATTGCTCTGGAGGGCCCCAAAAATTGAGTATTAAATCAAAATGAACACAAAAAATGATGGTTTATGGTTAGGAAGAAAAGTCATGTTTACCTTCTTTTCATCACCCATTTTTGGCAAATTTGGTTGTAGCTTCTAGGGGTATTTAAGACCGAAGTTGGTGCGAAAATGCAAACGGTTTTACTGGAATTTGATGCACTTTAAACCGTTTTATCAACAGACACGCAGCTTGCCGCTACAAATAATGGCCGGCTTGCTTGCAAAGTAGCGGTAACTGCTGCCGGAAGTGACTACGCGGTTAGTCAAAACCGGCTTTAGACATTCAAATTTTACACTTCCGGTGACAATATTAACAAGCATTTACCATTTTGTAATGACAAAACACACTCACAACAACTTTGTAAATTAATTAAACTATTTAAGCCTTGTCCTGGAAATACATTTATTATGTTACCTTTAGTTTAACAAAATTTTAGTAATGGAATCGACTGTCATTTCATGTTTTTTACGACAGATGGCAACCCCACGTTTCATTTCTTCAGTGCTGCCACAACTCTTGGTGTAAAAAACCCAGAAATACACAAAATCGAAAATCAAAAAGCTTCTAGAAAATCACAATTAAGGCTTTCCGAAAATATTTCAGTTTGAATTATACCATAAATAGATTAGAAGAGAGTGAGAGGTAAGTAATTTACGAGTGTTTGAATTGGAAAATTTAGGTTATATTTTTAGGTGTCTCAGAGAAAATGATTATACCAGTTCGTTGTTTCACTTGTGGGAAAGTTATTGGAAATAAATGGGAGGCTTATCTGGGGCTTTTACAAGCTGAATATACGGAAGGAGATGCGTTGGATGCTTTGGGGTTGAAGAGGTACTGTTGTCGAAGAATGCTCCTGGGACACGTTGATCTTATTGAAAAGTTACTCAATTATGCCCCATTAGAGAAATAAGCTGTAGTGATAAGTTTTTAAGTAAGTTTAATTTTACGACATGTAAAAAGGCCTTTTTAAATACATTTTGTGATTCCAATAACTTTTTCCCAAACCAGCCTTTTTGCATATCCTTTTTATCCCTTTATTATTGCTTAAGGATGACTATGCATTTTTTAAGTCATGCGTTGAGACAGATTTTTTGCCAAATTTGTGGTTTATACAGGGGTGAACCCAAAGTAACGCCCCAAAGCCATAATTCTAACAGTCATTAAAAACAAGTGGGTTTTATTTTTGAATATGAATTTTGTGCGTTATTTTTGGTTTAGCCTGTATATATTTTTACAGGTATTCAAAAAATAATTAGACATTTCTCATTTGATAGACGTACTCGAGTTATTACTTATTATTCGTGTTAAAAGAAAAAAAAAACAATAAATTTGTATTTATTTATTATTTAAACAATAAACCTGTACAGAACAAATTCCATAATGGACAGCACTGTAACGAAAAATCAATTGATTAAATAGTTTTTTGTATGACAAAGGAGAAAACAGGGAGGAAAAGACATTTTCCTCGAGTGTAATACATATAATTTTTCCTACGATCCAATAAGAAAAATAGTTTCTCTCGATATTCCAGCTGCGCCATTGGGTAATATTTTTACTTCCCTGAGAAATTATATTTTTATTGTAATTTTGAGATGAGGGAGGTAAAATCTTGTTGACCATTGGAAAAACTTACTTTCTGTTAGGGTCGTAGAAAAACAGTTTAAAAATCAGATCAACTATTAAGTAATGTTTCTTAGTGACGACGTGCGATGAAAAACCCTCCTTTTCAGGCCAATTTTTATTTGTTTCGAGTAGTTTTTAGTGCATAGATCACTAAAACATTAATACAAAATACATTTATTTCGTGACTACTTGTTAGAATCTAATTTGACTATTTATTTATTAATCAAAAAAAGCAACAAATATGATAGTAAATATAATAAAGTTAAATAATAAATCTCATTTCAGAGGGGATTTTAAGTAAACTTTTTTAGATTCAATATCACTGGACTATTAGTGTTATTATTATTAGTGGTCCGAGAACAATACACTTATATTAATATTGACACTTTTTAAGCCAGATAATTACTACAAAATAATTAATCTTACTTTCTTCAGGGTTTTGTTATATCTTAAGAGATTAGAGTATAACATTGTGTCCTTATTTAAAAAGATAAATGAAAATGTTTTTAATTTACTAAGATTGGAAGATTTAGTTGACTAGTAATTCCTGTCCATTTTGAAAAAACAAGTGGAAATCTCTTAAAATATATACTTAACAGTTAAGCAAGACGAAAGTATATCACCGTTTGATATTTTTTTTTAAATATCGTCGAGAGTTACATCTACTTGAAAAAATAATCACTTCAGACTTCGTTTCTTTAAAGCAAAATATCAGCTACTTATCAATTATCACTCAAGCTATTTTCCCAATGAAAAATATATCCTTACCGATATTAGATATCTTGTAAAATTACACACTATAGTAGGTACGTAAAAATATGAATTTGAGTAATTCCATGCCAAAACGATCACTTTTTTAAAACTCATTGTTTCTGGTTTTCGTAAATTTGAGATATTTTATAGAATGTGTAAAAATGAGAGACACGTATTTCACCGTTTTTTATGTTGAAAAAACAGGGATGTATAAAATTAAGTACTTCGGAGCAAAAAGAATTTTTATCTAAAGAACAAATTAACATATTAAAACTTTTTTTTTCATAATAGGTACATTACGGACATAATAATACATGTATTCTAAAAAAAAAATTATTAACAAATAATTTAAAAATGTATTGTTTAAACAAAAAAAAACAATTTTACTTTTTTTTGAAAATTGACATTTTTTTATGTCTAATAATGATATTGATGATCTTGTATACCAGGTGAATAAAAAGTATGGAACCAAACGTTTTTTGCTTAAACTATTTATTTTTTGAAAAAACTAATTGATGAGTGCTAAAGTACTATAAAAATGTGATGATTTAACAAGAATAAATTTTTTCGAAATTTCCTTTTATTTTTGAGTTCTACAAAAAAAATAATTTTTTTAAATGGCAACCCACTATAAAATCATTTTTCTCATAAAAGCTATACTCTAAGGATTACAACTATCTGCTTTATTTTTAATTTTTTCAAAAAATTTTTTCACATAAATTGCAATTTTGACAAAAAAATCGCATAACTCAAAAACAAAACAAAATCTCGTTCTGAAATTACGATCACACTTTTTATATTACTTTAATTTATATTAATTATTATTTTCCGGAGGCAAATGATTAAAAATAAAACCGCTTGGTTCCATACTTTATATTCACCCTGTATCTTTTTTTTTATAATTATTTAATAAAGGTACGATAATTTTGCCAATAAAAGCCACAAATAACATTTGACAAAGTTACAATTTAGGATACAGCTTCCTTGTTTCCTCTTCTAATAGCCTGTAGCAAAAAAACATGGAAAATTATTTTTCCAACAGAAATAAAATTGAAACTCTCATAACTTCGAAATTTTTATAGATATATTTTTTTGACATTTTTTTCATGCTCCTGGTATCTTACCTTACGTTGGTATGGGACTTTTGACACAGCCTGTATAATCTAATCGACAAGTTGAAAGAATTTGCGATTTTTTAAATGATCATTTTAGTCGAGCGAAGCTCATGAAAGGTATGCGAAATCTACATACTTTTATTTTAATATCAGAAAATAGAATAAAAAAAATTAAGAGTACTCTTTCTCAACCGAGGAATTTGTTTTTATTATTGATATTTTTTGAAAAATAAATATTTATAAGTTATTGGAAATTATGTGTTTTCTATAATTTCTGTAATTTTTTTCAAAAAAAAATGTTTTTCAGCCATTTTTAAACGTCCCTCTTGAAACTTATGTGAAGACATAGTAAAAATATGAAAATTTTTACATAAGTTTTTTGAGAATTTAGAAACCTGCGTAATTGTTTATTTTTGTGTTTTAACAATATATTTTTAAATTATTTGTTAATAACAAATTTTTAGAATACATGTATTATCACGTCCGTAGTGTACCTATTATTATATCTATTATTAAAAAAAAATCGTTTCAATATGTTGATTTGCTCTTTAGATAAAAATTCTTTTTGTTACGAGGTACGTAATTTTGTACATACCTGTTTTTTCAACATTGAAAAAATAAAAAACGGTGTGTGTAAAAAACGTGTCACTTATTTTTACACGTTCTATAACATATCTCAAATTTACAAAAATCAGAAACAATGAGTTTTAAAAGTGATGAAATTACTCATTTGTAAATTCGATATATCTACATGAGATAGCGGCCCCTAAAAATACGCAATTATGTATCACAATGCAACACAAGCACAATAAATTAATTGGACGAAGGCAACTACAAGGAGAAGAACTTCAGAAAGGCCGAAGGAGGAACAGGACTGGGCGGAGTAATTCCCCCGGCTTCTTGAAGTCTCGCCCGGAATTCCGGGCACTGATCGGCTATACACGGGTGCCCGGAGGACCTCCAAAACAGGCATCGACAATACCGACACAACGACAACATTTCTGCATATTGGCGGTCTTCGCTCAATCCGAAGGACCTATCAAGAAAAAGAGTTTTGGTTTTGGATAGGCACAATCGAAGCAATCTCAACGAATAATTCGATAGTTGTCTATCATTCGAATTATTCGATAGTAGAAAATACATTCATTCGTTAAAAATCATTCATTATGAAGAAACGAATAAAAGCGAATTATCGAATAAAATCATTTGTTTCTTTCTCACGTACAGTTAGTAATGTGTTTATCTCACTCTAATAATTCATTTCCTCAATGTTTAGTGGATCATGTTTGTAATTTGTATCCAAACTTACCAGATAAACTGAAATTAGAAACCGAATTGAAAGTTTTATACAATGATGTCAACATTTTTGGCGAATCACAAAATTTAGAACACATGATGCAGTTTATATTTTCTAATTCATTACAAAGTGATGTACCAGAAATTTATAAACTATTATCAATTATTTTGTCATTACCTGCTATCTCAGCTTCTACCGAAAGATCTTTTTCTGCATTAAAAAGAATAAAAACTTTTGTAAGAAATTCCACAAGTCAAAACCGTTTAAATAATTTGTCCATAATATCAATAGAAAAAGCGTTTTTGAAAGAACTTCAAGAAAACTCACTTTTACGACAACATAATAGACCACTTCGCTGCACAAAAAGAAAGAAGAATTGATCTCACCTATAAAGATATTTAAATTCAATTCTTACACATTTTTTAATAAGAAAATTTTTGATTTTACTTTACCGAGTATAGCTATTATAGTGTACATATTTAGTTTTGTTATCATGTTATCGTACATGAATGTTTTTTATTTAGTTTTTTTTGCCAGAATTTTTTGGTAATATATTATTAACCTTGTTGAATATTTGTTGATTTTGTATATTTTATAAGATTTTCTTTGATTTTGTTACTAACTGTCTGATCCTAACAATTAAAACAATCCTGTACCCAAATCTTTTCCTAACAAGAGATCACTCCCGTTGGTTCTTGCCGAACAATATTATTTATAAAATTAGTAACAGTACCTAACAAACAACTTTATCAAAAATTATTTACTAATTTATTTACTAATTTATAATTAAATAATATTGACCAACTAGAGTGGACCAAAATTTTTATATTGCCACTGGTTTGTACCTACTCAAATTTTGCCAAGCACGTGCGCGTATGAAAACAATTTGGGTTTTAAGAAATTGCTATTAAAAAAAAACAAAACAATACGGTCTAAATTTTTCGCCTCTCAGTCATTAACTCTTCTGTTTTTGAAAAAACTCTTTCGCAGGTCGCAGGTGTAGATAAATGATTTTGATTGAGTTATCAAATGATTTGAACTATCGAATGAACCATTCTCCCACCATTTATTTGCTCAAGCGATTGAATAAAATAAATGAATGATTCATTCGATAGTTCAGATCATTCGTCAAAATTATTCGATTTTCCCAACACTAGTTTTGGACCCCTAAACAACTCACTTTTTGAGGGAGTGATAGATGTCTTTCCAGTCGACTTTCTCGCAGTTTTTTGGTAAAACTAGCTCGATTTGATTGGGTGAAAAGTGGAATTGGGTTAACTCCCTCCAGACGCGTTGCTCCCCCACAATTGTGGCCATTTGCTCGCACGTTTCTGCACTAGCTGTCAAGTCTCTATGATCCGACAATCTTAAAATAATCTCCCGGAGGCATTCTTCCGGGAGTTGTAGCAACTGCGGGCGCGACTCCGGGCTGAGTTCGCAGATTTGCATATTAGCGGCCATTTTGAGTATGCGTTCAATTTTGGCGGTGTGCTCACTCCACAGCATTTGGGAGCCGAGGAGGCCGCCCCAGCAAGACGAGCGTTCCGCTTCGCTCAGCGATCTTAAATTTTTTAACAGTTGACGGAAATTTCGGGGATTGTGTTGACTTGTCACCGCTTGACTTGCGACCTCTTCCAACATTGCTAGAAGCACCTTTTGGGCGCATCCCGACAATGCGGTCATTTGTTGGCCGATGAGTAGTCCTAATAAAGCGCAAATGTAGTTGAAGCGGCGGACGTCTCTAACGGCGCTCATGAAGTCCAGTTTTTTTACAGCCTCGTTTAATTCGTTAAAACCTGCTATCTGAAAAGGGAATGGGTAATTAAAGTGGTTTTAGAAGGGGGGCGCTACTTCTTTTGTTGATTTTATTGTTATGTGGCAATGGGGTTGGATGGCAGTTTCGGTATTTCCATATGTGGAGGGTTCGTCTGCGCCACTTTGTCTAAAAAATAATTACACAATTTAATTTGTACGAAAATCAGGAATAAATAATATTTGTAAAATAAAAATTATGCATCGTAGAGTATTTTAACCTGTTTTTAAACTTGACCCAATAACATTTTATACACTTTTTTGAGTCTTTAAGACCTTTAGAAATGTAAAAAAACGTGTTATGGATCAATTTTAAAGTTGAATTTTTTTTTGATTTTTGTACCCTTATTTTTGACTTTATTACTCAATATCTCAAAAACTATGCATCGTAGAGTATTTTAACTGGTTGCATCGTGTTCAGCGCGTAATTTTACATCTAGAAAACCATATTTCAAGCGTTTTTACGACTTTTAGGAAATTGACCATTTTACGATTTTACTACCGCTCACCTTGAAAAACTCAAAAAATTCGTAATTTTTTAAACTTGACCCAAATGTAAAATGTAAAATCTAAATGTAAAAAGCGTTATATGGATGTATTTTAAGGTTAAAAATTTTTTTGATTTTCGTCGAAATTTTGGTCGATTTTTGGCACCCGGAGCGGTCTATTGCCAATAACTCCGGACTTATTGGTAATAACCTCTTATGTTTGGTATCGTTGGAAAGCAAATTTAATTTTCTATCATATAAAAAAAGATCAGTGTTCAACGATAAATAGTTATCGAGAAAATTTGTGACAAAGTCAAAAGTATGGAAAATATAAATCCGACTATAACTTCAAAACTATTAGGAATTTTGCAGGTTCTTTGACGCTAATCGATTCCCCGGAACATTTGACATAGGTTTACGTCAAAATATTATATCATTGAGGCACAGTTTTGCTGAAATTTACAAAATAAAAAACAGTAAAAATTTGTTAAGAATTAGTGTTTTTAAAAACATGTCTCAATTTAAACCTATCTTATCTGATTTTTTTTATGTATTGTCATACGAATATATATATATATATACAGGGTGCGCCAGAACTCGCGCCCCAGAGAAAATTTTCAAGTAAGGTAAGATACCAGGAACATGAAAAAAATTATCTGTCAAAAAATTTTGACATTTATTTTTTGACATTTGAATTTTTTTATATCTATTTAATGATACTGATGATCTTGTATATGTTTTTTTTTTACAATTATTTAGTAAAGTGACAAAAATTTTGCCACTAAAAGCCACAACTAACATTGAATACAGTTACAATTTAGGATACAGCTTCCTTGTTTCCTCTTTTAATAGCCTATAGCAAAAAAACTTGGAAAATTATTTTTCCAACAGAAATAAATAGAGTCAAAGTGCAAAACTTTAAACCCTCACTTCGTAATTTTTATAGATAAAATTTTTTTAACATTTTTTCCATGTTCCTGGTATCTTACCTTATATGGCATTTTTCTGTAGGGCGCGAGTTCTGGCGCATCCTGTATATCTGATTGATTTTGACGCGCTGATTACGAATTTGCCAAGCATTTTGCGTTATCTCTTCTAGTTTCGCCGTAATCGGCGTTCAAAAATTAAAAATTGTCAAAATTGTGAAACTTTAAATGCGTTTTTTCTACGAAACTGTAAGACTTAGAGCAAAAAGCTGAAAACCATTAGAATCTACTTTAAATTATCTATCTAATGACGTAAACCGGAAGTCGCTCTGGGTTATGGTTCCGGGTTCAGAGCCATTTTTAGTTTTTTTCATAAAAAAATTGTCAAAAACTATGAGTCCTAAGGTCAAAACAGTTTGTATACATGCGTATTCTACGGTTAATTTTACATATAGTACTAGTTTTTCATAAGAATCAAAAATTATTGATTTTTGGGTCAAAATCGGATACTTCTAGCGTTATTTTTAACTTTACTACTCACTTTCAAAAACTCAAAAAAAATCGATTTTTTTAAATTGCGACCCAATAACTTTCAAGCACTTTTTTGAGTCTTTAACACCTCTAGAAATGTAAAAAAAAACCTTTGTTTATATGTTATGTTGTTTGTTATATGTATCAATTTTAAAGTTGAAAGTTTTTTTGATTTTTGTCGATTTTTGGGAGAGTTAAATCTCGAAATTATTAAAAAAAAATCGTGACCTCTGTGGGTGCACAATTTAGTACAATTCTCAGTAAAAAAGACGTTTTTGAAAGCAAAGGTAGCTACACAATTTTTGATAGCACAAAAAGTTACCCTAAATGCAAATTTTTATAAATCTATCTCAATCTCAACTGTTTACTGAGACAACTGAAAAGAATACTGGAGACTCTGGCTCCCTTAGGAAGCATTTTCAGGATTTTTCTATTTTAACCTAAGGAACCACCCGAAATCTTTTAACGGCTTTCCCCGACAAAATGTATAACAACGATCAATTATTAACGGCACGGAAATTATTAGATTTGAATTAATCAAACCAAATCTAAGCTATAAATAAATACAATGTAATAGGCAGTAACAGTGACAACATTATGATTTTTTGTAACAGAAAAGCAAGCAGAAACACAGAAACAAAATTTAAAGCTTTACAGCAATCTTACGTTTTAAACAAACACTCTAATTACAAAATAAAATTGAAGGACTGTAAACACTCAAGACTTGTCCTCTTTGATGGAAGGAGTTGTCGTTAATTGTATAATTACGTTTTTCTAATTAGTGACACAATTTTAATCAGAAAGTTGTGATTAAATTCCGAGCTTCGAAGATGAGAATTTTACTAATTGTGTGTTTCCACTTTTGCAAATCTTTAACGATGGAAGACGAAATGGCCCACAATATTTTAAAAGTGTATTCGCTGTTTTCTCCCCAAAATACCAAAATTTCAGTGACTCAATTAAGCAAAAAAATCAACACGGATCACTCTCTCATGACAGAATTAATAAGAGACTTTTACAAAAGAGACGTTACCGTAAAAGTCAGAAATTACGCTCTTAACAAAAGAATTACAACGACTTACAATTATATTTCTATTTATAGACACAAACAGAGACTTCAATCACCATATTATTACGACGATCACATAATTATTGTGCAAGAAGCTCATATTTTAGAGAAATTCTTACACGAGATTCCCTTCGATGTAATCCCAAATAACAGAGCCAACTACATTTTCTATCTGATGACCGATCATTTTTTCGATGAAATACAAGCACAAATGAAACTTTTTTGGACAAAATTTCAAGTTTCAAGCTTAATTTTCATTACAGCGTGCAATTATGTCCATCTTTACCGTCCATTTGGGCTATTTCAATCGCTCCCTTTATCCGCATTTCTGCATCGAAAATTTAGAAATAATCCAATAATGAAACTAAACGGCCATGTACTAAAAATATCGATGTTTGCACGAAATCCGACTGCAGTAAAAGAAAATAAAAATAGAGTTTTCAGCGGAGTTGATGGAAATATCTTGGCCCAATTATCAAAAAGCATGAATTTTACTGCCGATATTTTTGAGGAATTTTCTTTCTATGGGCAAATTTTCCCAAATGGTAGTGTCACAGGCACTTTGGGGGCTGTGGTTAAGGGGGCTGTTGATTTAGCAATGAATGGGAGATTTATACTCGGGCAGGAATATGACTATGTGGAGTTTACTGCCCCTTACAGTAATGACAAAATCTGCGTGGTTGCACCCAAATCTGGACGAATTCCACACTGGGCTGAAATTTTCCACAGTTTCAGGTTAAAAGTTTGGTTGTTGATTTTTCTGGTGATTTTCCTCTCGTTGCTGATTTGGTATGCGTTCAAGAGAAATTGGGGAAAAGTCTGGATAGAAATGTTGAGCATTTTCATAAACGTTCCAGTTAAACTGGCGTTAAGTTGGGAACGAAAAATATTTTTGACGTTTCTATTGCAATTTCTGGTGATAATAAATGGGGTTTTTCAAGGGAATCTCATCAAGACTTTCAGTGCCGTGTCCTACTACCCCGATATTAACACTTTAGAAGAGTTGGATAATTCTGGACTGAAAATTCTAACTTCACTCGGAGTTTTCAACAATAACGAATCAGAATTGTTTAAAAACTTGCAAAAAAAAGTTGTGGATAGGAACCAATCCGCGATTGAACGAGTCGCTTATCGTGGAGATATTGTGGCATTAGAACGCAAAAACGACGCTAATTTATTCAAATCTGTTTATGTTTCTTCTGATGGTACTTCCCTGATACATCTTGTGCAGGAATGTCCCATTTCGTACCATCTTGGGTTTATTGTAACCGAAGGTTCGCCCTATTTGCCTCGACTAAACCAATTGATAACAAGAATGTTCGAAGGTGGTTTAACGAAGAAGTGGTACAATGACATGTCCCAAAAGATTATAATGAAAATGAGGTTCGGCAAACATGTTGAAGAAAATCGAAAAGTGAAGGCATTTTCTTTGTATGACATGCAGTTGGTGTTTTTAACCCTGGTTTTGGGTTTGATGGTCTCTATGGTTGTTTTTGTTTGCGAACGTGTGCTCTTTTGCTACAGAAAATATTTAATTGTGTACGAGGTTGTCCAATAAAGAGTTTTTTCTTTACTGGAATTAGTTTTTTAATCATAAATCAAGAAGGAATTAGCATAATTGACCCTGAAACTGGGTGGTTTTCATAAATATTGTGGAATATTTCTAGTTCTAGACTACTAGTCATACAGTGTGTTAAAAAAAGTTTGTAAACTATTTAAGGAAGTAATAGTATGGACCAAAATAAACAAAAAAATCTTAATAAACATGGGCCCGCAAAGTAACGGTTTCGGAGATATCAAATGTGAATATTTTTAGAATTTCTAGTAGAAGCTTCTTTTTTCTTTGAATAGACTGAAAATAAATTTTTCAAAAAAAGAATAATTTTCGATATCTTCGAAACCTGAAATATTTTACAATATTTTTGAATACATGACATAGGTACATATAAAATTATTTTTTTAATTGTCAGTAAAGTTAAGAAACAAGTTTCTAAAATGTGTATAATATTGTTGAGTAATATTTCAAATTTTTATATAATTTAAAGAATTGCGATTTCAGAATTCGGATAATAAACCCCATATTTGTGATAAAAAAAATTGAACATAAAATCCTACT